TCAAATGTAAGAGATGATCACATCTTCGTGTGAATGTTCAAGCACGATGAGATCTGTGAATAATTGAAGTAAATGAAACTTTGTGATTAGTTATGGTGGCTGTTCGTTGATCTATAAAATGACGATTTCTATCGATACTAAAATCTTTGTCGCCAAAGAATGTGTGCCACACCATAATTATCGAGCACCTTCCCAATTCCGATTGCTATAATAGCAGATTGAAGAACATTTCGATGAAATTTTAAATTCTTGAAAATGCCATCTTGAATGACGCCACCTAATGACGTGTGCACATGCGTGTGCTGATCAAATTAAACAAAGGAAATGACGTTTTGCGAGGAATAAAGGAGCGTAACAACCAGGTTAGTTGCAAACGCTCTCTGATTCCAACAGATAAACGCTCAACACTGAATGGAATATGTTAAAACATGGTTTCTGATCGTATTTCCGGAAAGATTTAGCTCAATCAAACTCAGTGAACTGCAATTCAATCCCTGATTTGATCTAACTTGAGTCGCAGTCGCAGTGATTTCCCACGAATAAGTTCCACATTACGAGCGATAGCGCTAATTGAAAGGAAGTTTACATTTAAAGCTTCAATATTTGGAACGCTTCAAAAGTTTGTTGACTATTCTTAATGAGTNGTCGGGTATGACGACCGCGACTAACAATTTGCAATAACAAATTTCATCAAATCATTCATTGAATCGCAAACATTCATCGCACTCATTCAGTATCCAACACCGAAAGTGTGCTCGATCGGAAACGAATCCCTGTAGAGTTAAATCTGTTCGCACAAACAAGCGCTGAATTGTGCTCGAATGGATAATTGCATAATTTGTTTTTGCGTTTATGATCCTCTATCCGTCAGCACTGACTACTGACGTCGGCCTGGAATGGCCATGATTGCTATGCAAAGAACACAACGAGTTAGTTTGCTCGCATTCCAAAATTTGTTGCAAGCTCGACGGTTTAAGAGCTAGCAGGCTTTCTATATTCAACGTTTCTATGGTGTGATTTTATTAAGCCGATGACTTCATGGTAGTCTGCTGTTCACGAAAGTACGATGAAACTATTTTTGTTGTTCAAATCGTATTACTTAGAGCTGAATGCATCGTGAACTTATTGTCAGCAGATTCAGTAAGGAATCTGAATTTATAAATAGTTTGATGTAAAGATATCGTCATGATTTACGTTCACTGCCCAATAGGACAACGTCAGCTTTCCTATTATTTGGATTNATTAATAACTTATTTGTTTGAACGTAAACATATCTTAAATATTTGCTGCCAAACCAAATTCAAAAAGTCAATGAAATGGTGTGATCGACGTGAAGTCCACAGTTGCTATTCTGACTGAATATTAGCAATTGGACAATCGTTACGTAATGGTTAATTCATCAAGTGATGTTAAGTTATACTTCAATATTGTCGAGATGAGCATTCATTTGTCACTGAGCAAGCATGAGAAGCGCATTAGAACAATACAAGCACTCTGTTATCGGATATGATAACACCAGTACAGAGCTACTAATTAAGGACATGCGCATAGGCTTGTCAAGAGTACGCACGTAATTTGATATCCGTTTAACAGGCTAATTTGCAAACATTCAAAATTGCCGTCAGCTATTTGAAGTGGATCGTATGACTGATATTTAGTGCGCGATCAAATGACTGACTGGCTTTCATTCTTGCGAAAATTTTACGCCAATATTTGCTGGTTTTGGCCAATCGCACACTGTTGTTGATTTATTTCCACCTTCAACTTCTCTTGACTTGTCATCCTCTCTCCATCACACGGACACTTCAAAACGAGTGATTGCGATGAATATGCTGCACACGGCTCTGACTCTCTTGCGATTGCATTCCCATTTGGATCATCAGCTGCTGCTTCATCTTCAATCGGACTAGTCGTCCATCTATAGAACATCCATCCATTCAACGTACGTCGTGATTACAGCATCAGAGTGCTAAAAGTAGTCAAGACATTAAATCACTTTTGAAGAAACACACGCACACACAGCTTTCGCTCTAATTTAGCAACAAACGAAACAACTGAAACAACTTGTTGCTAATCGTTCGTTATCGTGACTGATGACGTTCACGGATTTATAATCCCTCAGAGAGCACAAGAATGCAGCCATGCATGCGTTCAAGCAAGTTCGTTGATTGCATTTCGCATTGACAGATCGTTGTTTCGTTAGCGAAGCAGCTAAATGAACGACGCTTAAGAAGAAGTTTNTTTGACAACAAGCTCGTGTCTATTGACCATTTACGGTTGGTGCGCCAAATGGTAAATCTTTTCGTGTGCCCTTCTCAGGCGAAAAATTTTTTCGAATTTTTCATCAAAATAACGACCGCAATTGCGAGTATTGGCTGGTTGTGATCTCCAGTAGAGCTCGAAATAACGATTGACAGTGTCGACTGTCTTGGGTCTATGCTGCTAACTTTTGTTCACTTCTCAAACTTGTTTCAGTAGTTGGTAATATTTCTGAGGTAATATCCTTGTCCAAAAACATTAGAAAAATGAAGAAGCAACGGTTTCGTCGAATCGATTATGCTGACAATTTGCCATTGAACAGTAGATGGAGAGCTCTATTCGAATATCCGAATCTCATTCGCGATTCCATTATTAGCTCATTTTCCATGCAATTTTGAGTTATAGAAACCTTGCAAGCAGGTTGGAATTTGAAGGCGATTATTATTTTCAAAGGTTCTTTAGCATTACATTTATAACAACAAGAGAGTGTGTCGATAAAGGCATTATTGTTATTTTTCTCCATCAGAACATATAATATGCATTTACTGCTTCATAACGACAGTGAGTTTACAAAGTTTTTTCTCGAAAATATCAATGTTACATGATGTTCACGCTGGGTGACTTGTGCATCCACTTCCACTAATCAAACGCATCGATCATTTCAGAATGACCAAAATACTTTTTCCGATTGACCTATTGAGCGGACGGCAACACAAGGAAGTTAATGGTGCAGATATTCGTGAAAGTGCACTAGATTTCCGATCTTCTTAGCTTATATCGGAGCAGATTTATTCACGATCGTACGTTACATCGTTGGATTGAAGGAAAACCAAACAGTTGCATTGAAATATGTAAAAAAAAGTAGCGAGCGAGTGGAAGGTTGTGGATTCAAGTGAAAATTTTGTCCGAAACTACCTCATCCATCTAATTATGCCATGCCAATGGTGATCTACGACTGAATCTTGTAGGACATATGTCAGAATTACAACACCAGATTTGTCTGCGTGGAGGGCGGGAGAATTATCTACGTTTTATTATCATTATCACTTTTATTATCAGTTCGTTTTCATTTTCACCTTTTTAATCGTTTCATTATCATTTTCGTTACCAGTTCATTATCATTATCAATTCCACTATAAAATCATTAAGCCAAAAGTTCAGCAAAACTGGGAGTTATCACCAATGAAACGTTTCTAGAGTTTGTATCGAATGACGCTGCTAGAAACCAATTCATGACCGTACGAAATGACGTATTTGAACAGTTCACTGAAATTAAACATTCGCTGCGGCTGCTCACTTCCACTGACGTTGTGCGACTAGACTTGACGCTGTGAGCAGATGACTAAACTTGACTTGGAATTGAACTTGAGAATTGCGGCAACCGTATAAACTCACTTGGCAAATCTGAAAGAACATCTTCGAACGATCGATCAAAACACCGGAATTCATTTACAAATATTTGATTTCTACGGTTCTTGTTTCTTGACAGTAGTTGTAATGGACGAAAAAATTAGATAAGAGGGATTGATTGAGGGATTCGTTTGAAACAAAATAACTGAAAACTAAATGCATTGCGATTTGCAAATAATTGTCGACTGTAATTTGAGATTATGTCAAAACGGAAATATTAAAAATACTAGAAAAAAAATATATTAAGAATAGTAAACGATAGCGTAACTGAATTCCATATTGAACTGCCCGCTGGATCGTATCACATACCCGTCATTCTTATGAAATTTATGATAGCTCTAATATCCTTGATAATCCTGATTATTGAGTTCAAACGTTCTTGAGTTGTGTTCACATAATGACTTGCGCAAATATCCAAACGAGCAACCTGGTTATGATGAGTGGGCGATAGAATTATCAGATAATTTAGTAGATGATGTCAGGAGTTTAGCATTCCTGTAAGTTAGTACTTAATTTCTAGGAATTGAATCAGTGCTCCCTAAGGCATCACGTAGCTCATTTAAATTTTAAAGGAATTGTTGCTTTCTAGGACTTGTACTTATTATTTCTAGGAATTGCATTTAATTTCTAGAAATTGCTGCTCATTTAAATTATGCATAAAACCAATTCGAAATTCGTTTTTAGCGGAAAATTGCTGCTTGAATATCGTTTTCCGTATTGCAAACTCGAATGTCGTATGAAAGATCAAAAATGGAATCTCGAATAACTATCGAAAATTGAATGTGAAGCACGCATTATAACGAATTGACATTAATTAAGGATTCAGCAGGAATTAATAATGAGTTCTCGATGTTGGTTTCAAACAGATTGACAGCGAGAAGATAGGAAGTAGTCGATTTCAAAGGATGGCACTTTACTCATTTACGGATGTGAGGCGGAAGGATCAATGTGGTTAGCGAAGAGACATTCAAAAGCATTTTTCTGCACTGATTCATTTTGCAAAGCTTCAAAAATCTGCAGATTACTGTCGCCATAAAAAGAGTGTCACGTCATTCAACCGCTTATTTTCATGCATCTTGATCGTGTCTTTTGATTGCAGTTAGCTGAAAATTAGGATAAATGCCAACGAAACTGAATTGAACCATTCGAATGCCGTGAAAGGTAATAGCAAATCCAGTGAGGATACTGCAACGTCAGCTGATAGCGAAATATATCGAGCATCTCCCAAGCGATTACCTAGATGAACAGGAATGACTGAAGTGAAATGGATGTGTTGAAAACAAGTATATATGATCTTCGCTGACAGTTCAGCATCTATCTCATATATCCACTTTCAAAAGAAATCAGTGTGCAGTGTGAGATAACGTAAACTATGCACTCTCAATTATTCTGCTGAACTTTTGCAGTTAATTTGATCAACGGTGATTAATCTCTACTGTAATGATTAAATCTCTATTAGAATCTAGTGATCAGCCACAAATGGGTTGAGCTGGATGAAGTTCAGTTGGAAGCAGCTGGATAAATAAGCCTGTCGAAAGAGAATTATCATAGTAATTAAATGAAAAGCCTGATTTTGTGTAAATTTGTGTAATGGCTAATAATTTATTTTGTGAGATTCTTTGCTTTATTTCATTTAAGAAATAGAAGCAAGCATATGGTTCATTTCAAGCAGTTTTTAAGAAGGAATTATACTTTGATGAATCATATTGTCTGTAGCGTTTTGGCCAGATCTATTGCAATTGATGATTATATTTTATTATGTTTATTAGATTTTATGCTATTCATCTGCTGAAAACGACCACATCTTAGTGAGCCGTTCTTAGCTCATAACAAAACGTTTATTGCATGAAACGGATAATTATATCAAGCTACCTTACAATTAGTCAGATTCTGCTTATCATTAGACAGAAATAAGTGCCAAAAGTGATTTATTAGGACATAATCTCACGAAAATACAGCGCTAATTGCTACTGAGAGTGATTCCGCAAATGTTTTGATCGCTGCAGAAGAACATTCAATTCCCGTTTATCCTAACCTTTGCCTATTGTTCTGGTGGAATTTTTGACTCAAAAATTCTGCACTCACTCAGCATATTCCATCTTCTCGCCATGAACGTCCATCATGAACCTAGCTAAGTGAACGAAACTCGTATTCTATCGAAGGAACGAACGGTTGGTCTGTCGAATAGAGTTATTTACATTTATGTAGTTGTCTATAAGGATGAGGGTAAGCAGGGCGTGGTTACCAAGCAAAGCTCTTGATTCTGCCTTGAAGGCGGAGTTCGTTGTATGTGCTGCTGACTTCAAGAGAGGAAGAAAATGGCCACAGGATAGATTGAGCTGATGGCCTGAAGGGATGACTCGACCGACTGGAGTATGCGTGTTTTTGCTTGTGGAAAATTACGGCATTCATCAGTGAGTGGTTTGTGCTGGAGCTGAACCATGATTCGTGTGCATTCTTGAATTCACTTCTGTTTGACAACTTATTTGACAATTTATNTGTTGAGCTTTTCAAGATGAGTAACTCTTGTAAATGCCTACAACGATTCTAGAATAATTTTCGTTTTCGATACTCCTTAATCGTTAGAGGATTTAGGTGGGTTCGTTCGATTGCTTCGTAAAAATGCCTCTGCTGAACTGATGAATCTTCAAATGTTTCTGTCGAACTGACGCTCTATCAAGTTCATCTGAGTGGTTTCCGCCCTATTCAATTCATCGTTTTGCTTTGAAATTAAAATGACTTTGAGTGAATTCAGTTTCGGAAGATATTTGATATGATGCGTCCGGCTATTATTTGGTTTGCTATTCTTCTCGATGATATCATCTGTTGTTCAGTTTGATTGACGGTTATGATTCAAAACGCTTTGATTCCATTGTTTGCAATTATTATTTCTCTGCCAACGAACATCATCCATCCTATCGTTTTCAACGTTTAAATTTTCTTTATGTGGCTCTTTATGTGATTGAGCATTTCTTAATGTTGCGCGTTTCCGTCATGCGAAATCATCATTTT